GTTCCAGAGGTGCCAGTGGGGTCAGGCTGAGCCAGGTACCAGCTAAGGCCACAGCCTTGTCTGTTCCTTCCCTGTCCTGTTTGCTTCCAACTCCTGTCCCACAAACTCCCCACAGTGAATTGCTTGCACAAGAACAGACATACCTGGGCCTATAGGAACTCCATGTAGGGCCAGAAGTGTTATCATCTCATCTCCTACCTATACACTATGTGAGGTCCTTGGCTGGCAGGAGTCCCCCGAATTTTCTCCTCTCTAGATCTGGAAACTGCCCCAGTTTTCTTCCATTCATTTGTTTACTCTTTCTTCTTCTTTTCCTCTTTCTCTTTCCCAACGGTTGCTGCTGCTTTTCTCTCACTCTTGGTTTTTCTGTGCCACTCTCTGGCCTCTTTCTCTTTTATCTAGTCTGTTAGTTTGTTCCTGTAGTTTCCTGAATTCTTAGTTGTTTTCCTCAACCTTTCTTTCGATCATTTGGAGGTACCTAATATCATTTTCTTGGATTATCTTTCAGGTATTCCTAATGTGTTTCCCCCCTCAAAAACGTTTCCTAGCTCTGCCTCTTGGTCACTTGTTTGAGCCATTCTGTCTTGTTTCTTTGAGTGAATAGAAATTATCTGTTGCTTCTGAGGCATTGTAGTGTTGTTGTGTATTAAATTGATGATTGTATGTTGGTGTTTTCTTAGGCATTCACCAATGGCCTCCTGGTGGGTGTGATCAGGGGATGGTAGCATGTGCACTGTTCTCTGTTCACACAGCACAGTTTATGATGAGTTTGGCTGATGGTGGATGTTGTTGATGATGTTATTCAGGTGTATAGTAGCTGGTATTGGCTCTTGCCTGGTGGGTGGGGTTGGGCTGTGTGGGCAGGCTTGCTGTCCTCTGTTGAATGAGGCAAGAAGAGAAAAAAAACACACAAGATAGAGCAAACATCAGTAAAAAATAATAATAGTAAAAGAAAAAACGTATACAAAAACCTGAAAAACAAAAAACCCTACCAACCACAGATGATAAAAATAAGGGAGAAAAGAAAAAAAACTAAATACATTATGGCCACACAGAAGGAAGTGGTTTGGGAGACAGGAAGTCTATCCTTTGGGCTATGCACCAAACCAGCACACTGTACTGAGTTCGGACCTGCCTCGTCTCAGCCAGAGATGGAGTTTGTTGGGGTTTTTTTTTTAGCCAAAGAAGATTTTAGCTCTTTCCTGGGTTCTTTCTCCCCTTCCAGAGTGTGAAATGAGGTAAAATGTTGGCTATAAAATGTGTAGTTGTGAGTCTGGGGTGCTCACAGCTGAAAACACCAGCCAGCCCTGGACACACAATTGTATCTGTGTGGCAGGTCTTTAGCCAAGTGGGTCACAACTGTGATGCCACTGATGATGACTTCAGGGACTTCCGATGTCACAATGAAACCAAGTGCCTGGCCTGAACTGGGTCTTGGGACCAGTCCTCTGATAGTGTCCTGGTGGCCCAAACCATGGCCAAGTTTAGCTCCTCTGGCATCACATAAATTCCTCTGGTATCACAGTAGCCTGAGGTATGGGCAGTTCACTTTCTCCTCCTTTCTGGCTAGAGGCTCCCCCATGTACCTGGCTGATCTGCTCAGTGATACCCACCTTCCAAGACAACACGGTCATTGAATCTCACCTGCCAGGACCAACTCACACACCCAGCACCCTCCAGTCCCAGTGCACTCGCCACCAAGCCCTGGTTATCTGTGCTGCCAGGTTGGAGGTTGGGGGCTACTGAGACTTAGCCTGTGTGGCAGGGAGGATAGTCCCAAATTACTTTGTTGTTGTTGTTGTTGTTATGTGCTGTGGAGTCAATTCCAACTCATAGCGACCCTGTACAGGGTTTCCAAGGCTGTAAATCTTTACGGGAGCAGAAAGCCTCGTCTTTCTCCAGCAGAACAGCTGGTAGTTTTGAACTGATGACCCTGAGATTAGCAGCCTGGTTCATAACCAAGCAGCAGTATAGGTTGGTGGCAGAGATGAACCTGGGGAAGGTGGCACCCATGATGGCAGCAGAACTGCCCTGGGCTCGTGCAGGGAAGCTGATCCAGCCCTGTCAGGTCAGGCCGCTGGCCTAGGAGGCTTGGACAGGCAGGGGCAGAGTGGGCTTGCTCCTTGAGTACCGTCCTCCTGTAGGCCTGTCTCCATGGTGGCAGGGCAGGGCTCTAAGAAGAGGTGGCAGCTGCAAGGCCATTTGAGGCCCAGGCTCACACCTGGCACCATATTACCTCCACCCCATTCAAATGGCCGAGTCACAGACCAACCCAGGCTTACAGGATGAGCAGGTCTTGATGGGAAGAGCCTCACAGTCACACTGGAAAGGGCATGGAAGACAGGCAGGAGTGAAAAATTTTGGTCATCCAGATAGGTCTACTTTTCAATTGCAATTTTGCTTATTGTAGGTGTAGCAGTGCCTCTTCTACAGGGGCAAGCATGGATAATTCTGAATTAGCACCCCCGACTCAAGGGCCTCAGTCTCAACACAGAAGGCAGGAAGTGAGGGAGAGAAGAGGAGGAGGCCATAGGCTCAGAGCCTGGAACCCTATTGTAGGTACAGGCCCCGTGACAAGGGCCAGGTTTAAGCTGCAGCCAGATAAACCTTTGTTGACCTCTTCAGCCTTGTGTGCCTGTGCTGAGGTGGCAGCCATCTAGAGGACCACCTCAGCCTTAGGTAGCAGAAAAGCCACCTCCATGAACTTAAGAGTCAGGCCCTGTCCTTAGCTTCACATCTCTGCTCACAAGCTGTACCCCTTGGCCTCAGAATGAGGGTGATGTTGGCCTCCAGAGGTCATGCAAACTCTCTTCCCTGACTTCCCATACATGCAACATCTCTAGAGCAGACCCCTGGAAGCTTTCAAGTTGCAGGGCACTGTGGCCAGCTGGGATTCTGCCTCACTTGGAACCTGCGGCCTCTGAAGAGGAATGGGGAGGGGGTTCACTGGAGAGGGCTAGGATGCCCTGATCATGTTGGGAAAGGCCAGGGCCTGTAGAGAGGGTGGGCATGGGCATGGCTTCACAACAAGTTGAGGGTCCTCAGAGGAAGCAAAGTGGGGGCTTGTGGAGTAGCCTTCTGGTATGACATGCCGCAGACAGGATCCAGGGAGGAGCATGAGCAGAGAGCAGGGCACACCAATGAGGTTGGGGTATATAGGAACCCCCTCTTTTGAGGCTTCTAGAAATTACTGGGCAACACTTTGAAGAGGCACCCACTATTTATACTGATGGGTGAGTCTCCACCCTAATTTGGGTATAAAAGGGAAGGCTAAACATCTATGTTTGATAAACACGGGATAAAATTATACAGAATCACACATACACACACAAGTGCACACATGAACAAATGTGTGAGCACACATGCTATCATATGCACACAAGCACAATGCATGCATATACCCATGCATGCACATATAAGCCTACAACACACACTGGCATTCACAATGAATATGCAATAAACACATGCAAGCACATGTGCATGAACACACATGCACATATGAGCAGTCAGGTGCACACAAACCCTTATGCAGTACACACACACACACACACACAAATAGACATGCAACACAGGTGTGCATGTGTACACAGAGGCACACACATGTGCACATACATATACAAATACATGTGTATACACACATACACATGTGTGTCCCATAGGCATGTGCACACACATACATAAACACATGTGCATACACATGTGTGCCCCCTAGACAAGTGCACAGGATGGTGAAGGTCTGGGCACTTGGCTACAGTCCAGCATTTCCAGCGTCAGCCCTGTTAAGGAGCAGGGTTGCCTTCCTCTGATCATTTTGCAAATAAGGATGCTGTGGTTTAAAGGAGAGCTACCATCTGCCCAAGGTCCTAGCCAGACCTGCTCCTTCCCTCCACCTCCTCCAGCTTTTCTGGGAGCAAAGTCAGACTCTGACAGGTCCTTTTGTCTTCTAGCCATGACTGACAGGTGCTGCAGAGCTTAAGACCTTCCACAATGGACTCGTGGACCCACAAGAAGTGCCACCAGTCTAAGAAGTGTAGGACCAAGGACCAGGAGGAATTTGCTAGGAAGTTTCCATACAGGTACAGGAAACCCAGGCCAAGTCCTTTCTCCCTTGTGTGACAGGATCCCAGAATCCCCAAGGATGCAAGAGGATGTTCTAGGCACAGGTTGGAGCGGAGAGAGGGTTTCTTGGCCATACGGAATACCTTGACATTTCTTAGCTTTGCGGGGGAGCTGCCTGGCAGTCTGGGGTACACCATTTCCATTCCTATCCCAAACTGAACTGAGATGCTTGGACCACTAGGGCCATTCCATAGCCCTGACCCAGAACCCTGAGGCTGGGCCTTCACAGCCTGCAGCCCTCAGACCTGGTTCTCACTGGAGTTACTAGAGGGACATTTTTATAAGCACCTGCTCCTCCCCAAGTGTGAGATCACTGGGTTTGGGGTGGGAAGCTGCCAAGATGCATGTGTCAGTTCATCAAAAGATGCCAGTAAGTGGGAAATGCAAGACAAAGTGGAAAGGTGACAAAAGGCTTGTACCCAGAAGAATACGAAGGTAATTCAGAAAATTCATTGAAAAAAATCTATTATCTTTTCATTGCATTTTTCCATGAGTTTTGTGAAGCCTTCTCATATGGCAGACCAGTGAGATAAAGACAGATTTCCAGGGGATGGCCTCTGCTTAGCACTCCACAAGAAGTTCTCGGAAAATGTGCTGGAAGGCTCGAGTCTTGCTAGTCTTCTGGGAAGTGCAGAGTAAAACTTCCTGTCTTACAGACAAAGACATAAGGGTTTGGCAATACCTCCTATACTGCTGTGAGAGTGCCCAGGGTCATCTGTCGTGGGGTCATTGGTCATTGTTTCTAAGGGCATGTCCTTTGACCTCACAGCTGTCTTCTTTGTGTTGCCCTCCTACACTCCTGTCACCCCACTGTGTACCCATGAGATGAGTTCGAGATGCTCAGCCTGAGGCTCATGCAGGCTACCTGGAGGACAACTAGGTGTCTTCTGCTAGAATGGACATGAAGCTGTGGTCAGTAAACGCAGCCTGTGTTGGCCCTGACATTGGTGGGTATAGAATCAACTGGAAGCCCTTGGGTTATTTCTGGACACAGAGTGACTGCTCTGTGTGCCAGACCCTCCTGGGAAGGCATTTGGAAAGCCTGAGCCTTCCAGACCTTATCCCTCTCCTTTCAGACTCCAGGAACGGTCAACTCCCTCCCCTCACCCCAGGAGTTAAGCCAGTGGTGGGAGGGGCACGGTAGCTTTCAGGCTACTGAGACAACCATCCCCATGGTGGTTGCCTATCCTCATTCTCACCTCAGGAGATCCTACCAAAGTTGTTGTTGTTGTTGTTATGTGCCGTCGAGTCGGTTCCGACCCATAGCGACCCTGTACAGGGTTTCCGAAGGTGTAAATCCTTACGGGAGTAGAAAGCCTCATCTTTCTCCCGCGGAGCGGCTGGTAGTTTTGAACCGCTGACCTTTAGGTTCGCAGCCCGATTCGTAACCACTACGCTACCAAAGTTACAAAGTTACAAAAATTATTAGATCCATGTTGTGCAGTATCTGATTCTTGGATTCAAACTAGGGGATGTTAGAATCTGAGGGATGGATGTACTCAGGCCTTTGGGCTACAGCAGCTTGTCTGGAGCCACATTCCTACTCCACCATTTCCTAGCCATGAAACCCTGGGAAGGCCACTTACCTTCTCTGTGACTCAGTGTCCTCTGCTGTAAAATGTGAAAGCAACCCCCAACACATAGCATGGCTGTGAGCTAGGGTGCTATCCCCTGCTTCTCCAAAGTTTGCTTTGACGAAAGACTTGCATTAGTACTTGTTTTCCCTAACTGAAAGAAACCCAAAGACACTTTGCACATTTACCAAACAACAATAAACAAAAACCCAAATCAAGACTAGTAAAATCAGCCTTTATTTGCAGCAGCATGCACCCAGACCCCGAGCAGTAGGAGCAGCGAGGCCAAGCTTCTTCCCCAGGAACTGAGATAGACACACAGCCTTCAGAAGCGTACAGACCTAAAAGGAGGATATGTTGAAAACCAATAGCTTCACATTTTGATATTTTGATATGAGCTGTGTATTTATCATATCAGTCCTCCTTTTTTTTTTACTAAGGTGAAGTCAAAAAATATTGCTTACTAGGGTTCTAGTTCACACATGCACAGTTTATTATAAACAAAACATGCTTAAACATGTCTTTGCAATCAGTGGTTGGCTGCAGGCAAATTCTCATTAAGGGGCCTTCAAAAGGAAGACAGAAAGATTCCATCAAAACAGTGACTTTTGAAGGGATCTGCTGGGCCCATTCAATTCAAGGTTGAGAGGTAGGCTCAGAAGTTTATGATGACTGCTGTTTGGAATTCCAAAGGGGTAATCTTGATAGAGGGGTCCTGGTGTGGTGCTGTAGGAAAAGTCCAGGACTGCTAATCATAAGGTACGTGGTTCAAACCCACCAGCTGCTCTTCGGAAACCCTATATAGGGTAGCTATGAGTGGAAATCAACTTGATGGTAGTGAGTGAATCTTGATAGATTTTTCTCAAGACACACAGATCAATCATGGGGACTTATTAGGAAGGCGTTTGAAGAACATTAAAAACTGCCTTAGTGAGAAAAAAGTTGAATTGAGGAAAATTATTTTTCCGTCATGACAATGCACCTGCTCATTCTTCAAGGATAGAAAGGACTATCTTACAAGAATTTCATTGGGAAACATTACCGCATCTACCCTACAGACCTGATCTTGATCTTTTAGACATCTTTTTGTTTCCAAAATTAAAATAACAATGAAAAGGAACATGAGATGAGCCCCTTGAGGATGCCAGACTGATTATGGTGTCAATCAAAGAGCATAGCGTTTTTCAGGGATGAGCTAGAGAGATCAAAACACAGCCTTCAGAAGTGTGTAGACCTAGATGCAAGGTATTTCAAGAAACAGTAGCTTCACATTTTGATATTTTTGTTTAATAAATGGCCTATGATTTTGTAGCAAACTTACTCTCACGTTTTTGGTTTAACTTGAAGTCCTGGTGTGGCACTGTAGGATAATTTGGTAGGTTATTTTTTGGGAATGGAAACACTAGAAAATTTCCCCATATATTGCCACTCCTGCTCATTTTCAATTGTCATTAACTTGATAAAAATTTTCCCATTCTTTAAGTTTTAAACTATGTTTGTCTTTGAGCGTAAGGTGTGTCTCCTGTAGACAGCATATTGAAGGATCCTGTTTTCTTATCCGTTCTGCTACTGTCTGTCTCTTGATGGGTGAGTTTCATCCATTCAGCGTTAATTTTCAATAGGTATGAATTGATTGCAGTCATTTTGCTGTGTGTTTTGTTTGGTGTTGTTGGTTTCTTTGTTCTGCACTTTTTCCTGTGCCGAGTTCATTTTTTGTGTGCTTTGTGTTGTCAACTTCTTCATGGTTTTAATGTCTACAAAATCGTCATGGGTTTCCCTTTTCTTGATTTGATGGGAAGGTGTATTATGTTTCTTTGAGGTTACCCTGTAGTTTAGTAATTTCTTATGCAAATTAAAGCAGTCTGTTTTATCTTGAAATCACTTGACTACCTTGCCATTTAGTGTGCAGTAACTATACTTTCTCCTCTTTTTGCTCTGCAGTTGTCTTCATTATAGATTGATATTTCTTATTCTTTATCTTTAGTGTTGAAGTTTTGTTTTACTCTGGATACTGTAATATCTGGATTGAATTCTGGCCAGTGCTGCCATGTATGTCAGTCTTCGGCTGTTGTCTCCTATTGTTGGTTCTCAGTCCAAGGGACTCACTTTAGGTGTTGTTGTTGTTTTTAAGTTGGCTTGGTTTTTACAAATTCCTTAATTTCTGTTTATCTGGAAATGTTATAATTTTGCCATTGTATTTGAGGGACAGTTTTGCTGCTTATATGATTCTTGGTTGGCAGTTGTTTTCTTTCAGACTTTTGTATATGTCTCCTCATTGCCTTCTTGGCCTGTTGAGAAGTCAAAATTTAATATTATTGGTTTTACATTGCAGATAACATTTCATTTTTCCCAAGCTGCTTTCAGGAGTCTTTCCTTGTCTTTGATTTTGGGGAGTTTGATTATGATGTCTTTGTGATATTGTTGGGGGGGTCTATCCTCTTTGGGGTTCGTTCAGTTTCTTGAATACTTATCATCTCATCTTTCATGATGTTAGGGAATTTTTTTCCCAGCAGCTCCTTGACTATCTTTTCTGTGGTTTTCTTTGTCTTTTCCTGTTCTGGAATTCTGATCAATCATAGTTTATTTCTCTTCATGTTGTCCCACATGAATCTTAGGCTTCCTTCAGATTTTTTTCATTCTTTTTTCTGATTGTTCCTCTATCTTACTAGTATTCAGAGATTTATCCTCAAGCTCACTAATTCTTATTTCCATTGATTCCATTCTACTCCTTGGCCCTTTTTGTGAAGTGTCCATTTCTGATATTTTAGTATTGATCTTCTGTATTTATGTTTGCAGGTTTTGTATTGTCTCCAATGCTATATCTATATTGTTTGATTGTTCCAGTAGCACTTTTCTGTAGTTTTCCTCCACCTTTCTGTGAAATGTTTGGATGTACATCAATGTCACTCTCCTGAATTCTTTTTCAGGTAGTTCCAGTATCTCTTCTTCCTCAAAAGCATTTTCTAGCTCTGCCTCCTGGTCTTTTGTTTGAACTACTCTGTCTTGTTTCTTCTGTGAACAGAAATTTTCTACTGCTTTCTAGACATCATGGCGGTGTTGTATTTGCATTAAGTTGATGAATGTTTGTTGATGTTTTCTTAAGCACTCACCAGTTGCCTCCTAGTGGATGTGATCAGAGGAGTAAGGGGATCAGGCTTTGTGGCATATCCCAAGTCAGGATGAGATTCTCTGTTCACTGTCAGACAGTTCAATTCATAGTGGATTTAGCCGATGTTGCTTATAGTCACTGCTCTGGTGTATAGCAGCTGGTATTGGCTCATGTCCAACTCCTGGTGTTGTAGAGGGTATGGCTGTGGCTTAGCTGTATGGCCACAGTTGTGGTCTCCTTGTCATGTGATATAAGAAGGAAAAAAAAACAAAAAAAAAAAACAGTCCACACAGTGAGACAGTTAGTGGCTTTCTCGCCACCAATAAGCGGTGTGTTGCACCACCTACTGGTCTCTTGTCTTCACAGCTACCTAAGAAAGTTCAAAATGGCCACACTGCATCCAGCAGGCCCACACTTCCTTTATTTCCTTTTCATCGCCCCATTTTATCCTCTGCCCCACTCATCATTCAACCCCCTCACCTAGTGACAGCCAGTCCAGGGCTAGTCAGGGTTGACTTTGCAGATTTGGATCACAGCCTGCCCTAGTAGGGTTATTCTATTATAACACCTTCCCGGGGCTCACAACCTCTAAGTGACTCAACTGTCTGCAAAGTGAGAGACTCCCTGGGGTTGTACCCTGGTTGAAAAATAAATGAATAAAAAATATATAATCACACTTTTGTCTCCAAGAAGCACAGATAGATTTCTGCAACGTGAACATGTTTTCATGTCTCTAAAGCCGGTGTTGAATTTCCAAGATGGCTGCTTGTCAGTCACTTCATCTCTTGCCACGTCTATTCCACTCACTCTCCCAGCAAGCATTTCTAGTCCTTCCTCTGGAGCTCAGAGTTCAAGGACATTCTTTTGTATCTGTCTTGTCTGGTTTCCATATCCTTGCTGCGGAGTGCCCACACAGCCTTTCTGCCTGTCTGCCATCTCGCTCCTCTTCCCCATAAATGAATGAATGGTAATTGCTTCTTCACTTTATGGCATTTCAGCTTGTGAAAGTTTTCATAGGAATGATCTACTTTCAGACAACAGAAAACCTATATATGGGTTGATGTTTATAAAGCACATAGAACAGATGAGTGGACGCTGCTTTTATGTGGTTGGCCATTGTGGGGGAGTCTAAAGATATTGCCTGGGGTCTGTTGTAGGCTCAGTTGGCTGACAGAGTCTGGTTCCAAGTCCCTGCAGACTTGGGAGGTCACGGAGATTAACAACACACTGAGGAAGCAGCTGCCCCTGCAGAAGAAGCTGGTGCCAATGAGGTCCATTCCCGTCAGAGGGTAAGTCTCCAGGCTCAGACCAGTCACAGCACTCAGACCATGTGTACACCCAGCCTAGCACCCCTGTTTACACACAGGAGCTCATAACCCCCTCATCTGCTGAGGAAACTGAGGCTGAGAAAGGTCACTCTGAGCTCCAGTGGTTCTTACAGCCAGGCAGCCTTTGGGACCTTTGAGGGAGGGAGGGCCCTGGTCTACATGGGGTGGCAACAGCAGTGTAGGGGTGGTGAGAAGGAAGCAGGCTGTAGATGGGAGGCGCTCTAGGCATTGGGGTGGAAGGTCTTCATGCCCTGTTGCAGGAGAAAGTGTCCCTGTGGGAGACTGTGAGGTATTGTTGTCCAAGAGGACTAAGACATAGGCAGAGCTAGGTCTCTGAGGGTGCCAAATTTATATCTGAGGGGCAACAGGAGCCATCAGAGACTGGGAAGAAGGAGGGTGGCCTGACCAAACCTGCATTTAGATAAGAGATATGGTGTGGTGTTCTGCAGGTTTCAGCTGAGGTGAGCAGGCGTGGGCTAACCTAGGAAGAAGCATGCCAACCAGCATGCACTCAGGTAACACCTGGTTAATCAGGGGTGGGCATGTGGGCATGCAGCTAGGGTTACAGGAGGAAGTTATAGACTTTCTAAGTTTCTGGCATGGACACCTGGGTGGATGGAAGCATTAGCAACTAAGAAAACCCGAGAAGCAGGTGGGAACCACAGAGAAGATGCCCAGGAGAGGTCAGGGTGGCACTAAGCCCACACTGCTATGACCAGCCACTGAGCACTGTGTGACTCTCCCCTAGGTTCCAAGCTCCAGATTATCCCTCACAGGGGCTCTCCTCCCCGATACCACCACGGCTGCTGACCGTGAAAAACCTCTGGGAAATCAAGCTGCTGGTGTAACAATTTCCCAGACAAGGAGCCACCATGCTGCCCCTCCTATACACCCATATACACCACCCCTGTAGGGGCTTCGTGCGCGAAGTGTCCAGAGGCATCTCCTAGAACATCATAGCAACTTTCTCCCTTGATCTTTCTGGGCAATAGTGACAGATTCCTCTGCCAGGCAGTCCGTGAGTGAGGGATCAGTCTTTGTGGCTGTCCCAAACCAGGAACTATTTGCTCCCCCAGAAACCACACCACATAAATAAACTTTGCTGGCTCAAGATGCAGGTTAAAATGGACTAATTGTTTTGCCTTTTGGAACCTCCAGTACTGAACCACTTTCTCCTGGAGAAGAGAACCCGCTAAGTTTAAACCATGGCTGCTGAACCGTGCCCAGACAGCTGTAGCTTTCACCTAATGATACCCACTGTTGGTGCTGTTGTGGTTAAGTGCTGTCGAGTTGGCTCATAGTGACCTGTATAGAGTGTCCAAGGCTGTAATTATTTATGGAGGCAGAAAGCCTCATTTTTCTCCCAAGTGATTCCCACTTGTTTCAGGATGTGCTAGTGACACAATTTGGGTTGGAAGGGGCAGCTTTGGGACTTCTCATCACCTTGAGGTCACCTGGCCACCTGAAGCTGGAGATACACTATGCTGAAATTGTGAAAGTGAAGAATATGCTGCTTACAGGGAACCAGAGATCAATGTTAGCCAGAGATCAATGTTAGCCAAATACTAAACTCTGTAATATACTCCTTAGGAGGTTACCTGGGCGACAAAGCCTCGGAACAGAACAGAAAACAAAAAAACATAACTACAAAAAAACTGAAACATTTTCCTGACAATAAAAATCAGAAAACCCAAAACTTTCAAAGCCAGCAGGGTGCTGACCAGTTTGATCTGTTTTGGGAACCGGAAAGATGGGACATAAAAGATAATCACATTCAGTTGTTATTGTTGTTATGTGCCGTGGAGGTACAAGGTGCCTGTTATAAATTCCCCAAGAAGCTGCTACTTGGTTTTGAAAGAAAACCAGTATCTCAGTCCACTGTTAGAGAGTTTTATAAAATTCTTTATGTTGGCTGGTGTGTTAAGTTCAGAGCCTGATGGAGGAGCCCTCTTGTATTGTTCAGTTGTGTGTCCAACCCAACCTTTCTTAGGCCATCTGATGACCAGGGGTGGGTGACCTGCCTGTGACATGTAAGGACAGAAACCTCAGATGCCAGTCCAAGAGGAAACCACAGCAGAGGGCTGCCAGAGCACCAGCATTCCCTGATGGCAGCCGTAGGATCTCCAGAGCAGACATAGCAGCCAGAGTTGCTCACAAGTGGTTGGGTACAGCTGGGGGCTCTCATCTGAGCACCTGCAGGTCTATATGCACAAGACATTGACTTGGGGCAAAAGTGGGGTCCCTGCTTCCCATGAAGCATGTGGAACAAGAGTGTGACTGTAAGAGGAGCTAGTGTTGACAGCAGGCCGTGTAACCCCGGCTGAAGGGCACAAGGCATTGGGATACATCTGGGTCTGATGTCTGCATGTTTGTGTGCCACTGCAGATGACAGGTCATTGCAGAGTGTGTGGGAGGGAGTTTGGGACAGAGATAGTGGAGGGCTGGCATGCACGGCAGGGAACGGTGGTGAGCCAGAACAAAGGTCTCTGGTCATCTGAGTGAGTAGGCTTTAGCCTTCTGGGTCGGGTGATGGTGTGTCAGCACCTGAAGTTGTGGAATGCCAGGATGCTCAGGACAAAGATGAGGGCCTGGGGTTTGCGGGAGAGCAGTGGAAGGGAAGGCACAAGGCTGTGTCAACAGACTCCCAACCCTACCTCCTCAAACCTGTCCCAGGGCTTGGATCTAAGGATCCCAATTCTGAGTTTCCTGTGTTCCTCTGGCCAGGGAAAGGCACCTAGGCTTGGTTAAGACCTCAGGGAGTCCAGCAACAGTTGTCCCTTCCCAGGTCCAGAGGGGCTGGCCATTCGCCCATGCCAGCCTCTGGACACAGAATTGAGAGAATTTAGAAGGGCATCCAGAAGGTCTCAGGCAGATGAGGTTAGGAGCTGAGAACAGGAGCATGGCATGAACAATACCGTGTGTGTGTATGTGTGTGACCGAGCTGCCACTCCCTGGCAGCTGAAGCAGTCACAGGCCAGCACTGACCCTCACTACCAGGGTACTGATAACACCCACAGCTAGCCGTCAGCCTGAGCGTGCTAAGCGGCCTCTCCTCAGATTTGCTACTGATTTTAGCTCTTCAAAATGGAAGCACACCCTACCCAGTTCTTCCCAAAATCATAGCATTATTTATCATACACATATATACACATCAGGGGAGATGGGGGCAGCATAAGGTACAGACTTGGCTGAGCTTCTTTGGCCCATATCAGAATTGAAAATTGGATTTTTTTCCAATTTGTCAGTTACCCCTGAAGCCAGAATTTCCCCCAGGTCTCTATTAGTTGTTAAGTGCCATCGAGTCAGTTCTGACCCAAAGCGACCCTGTATAGAGTTTCCAAGGAGCAGCTAGTGAGCTTGAACCACCTACCTTGAAATTCAAACTGACTTTGCAGTCCAGCACATTAACCCACAGTGCCACACCAGCACTCTCTGTATAGGCTTTCACATTTTAGGACTGCTGGGGAGGTGACCCATCCTCTGGTAGCTCTTCATAACTACCCTGGGGTTATTATGCTATTTGACAACAGGGGAGGTTCAGAGATCAGAGCCCAAGAAGCACAGCTCCATGCCCAAAGCAGCTGGCACAAGGAAGCAGAGAAGCAAAAGTTAGGAAATAACAATGCATTTATTTCGTAAACATGACCTCTCCAATTCACCCAGGCCCCATAGAACCTGCCAGATTGCACCCAGGGCTCTGCTGGCACACATTGACAACTTAGCACCCAGGCCAGCTGCAGAGAGGGTCCGACTGGGGCTGGGGCCAGGACCACCACCTGGGCTAGGCAGGCTGCTCTGTGAAGGGCTGCTGGATCCTGAGCCAACCCAGCCTAAGGGGACAGCTGTATGTACCGAGTCTAGTCAAGGTTGAGAACTTCTCTTCTTGGCCACACTGTTCGTACCAAGTTGCAGGAGGTGGGCGCAGATCCCGAGATGGCATACAGCCATGTCTCAGTGTTGTGCTGTTTGGCCAAGGACAGGGCAGAGTCACCCAAAAGGCTTCTCATATGTAATAACACCAACATAACCTAAAAACCTTGTAATGGATTTCTGATCCACCCAGGGGCCTTGGGGACATGCGTGCCAGCTTGGAATAAGCAGACTAAGCAGGCACACAAGCATAAAGCCACCTGACGCGGGGAGGCTGCACCCTGCCAGGTGTGAGGTGGGCCCTGTGCTGTAGTTCAGACCAGAAACGCCAGCCTTGCCAGTGAGGTTGATCAAAAACACGTTCTCTGCACACCCCGGCCCAAGGCTGGCCTCCAACCTAACCTGCTAGTACAGCCGCAGGTAGGAAGGAGCGGAGTAATTAAAAAGCAGAAAATCCATCTTGTAAAGGTCGAAGAGACGCCGCTGGTAGAAAGGGCTGATGTCCTGAAACAGACGGGTGGCCTGCTTGCGCGCGGCAGGTGCCTGGGCTCCTGGGGGTGGTGCCGGGAAGCGTAGGCCGGGCGCGCCCACCAGGCCCAGTACAAAAGCGGCATCCTCTGCCAAGGTCTCGAACTTGCCCACCACGTCGTAGCGCAGGCGGCACGGGTGGCAGAGCGCATGGGCGCGCTCCCAATGCTCGTTGAAGGGCTCCTCGCGCCGCGTGCGCGGGTCCAGTAAGTAGGCTAGGAACTCCGCGAAGCGCACGTCGTGGCCGCGGGCCAGAGCTTCAGGGCGCGCGCGGGGTCGCAAGCGGCGCACGATGCGCGTGCCGAAACGCCTCTGGAATTCCGCGTGGTAGGGCCGCGCGAACTTGTTGCGGTAGGCCGACGCCAGCCGCTCGAAGGGGTCGCGCACAAAGAGGAAGGTCAGGTAAGCATTCAGGCGCCGGTTCACCTCTGCGGGGCTGAATTCTGCCAGCGAGGGCAGGAGGCCGGGAGCGTGCGCCTCGTGCGCTGGGATATCGCGCGGGTCGCCGCGTGCGCGACCGCTCAGCGCCAGCAGTACGCGCTTCCAGTTGGTGCAAGCCACCTTGGGCACGTAGCAGTAGAGCAGGCCGTTTGTGTCGTCCACCAGCACATGCCGCAGATCCTCTGGCTGAAGGAGGCGCTGCCGCCTTGTGTGACGTTTACAGGCGCTGCGCAGCAGATCTCGGCGCTGTCGGTGCAGCTCGGCCAATGGAGAGCGAGGGCCCTGCAGGAGACATTGGGGGGAGGGGAGTATGGCCTTTGCTCTCCAGGCTCCTGAAGGGCCCAGCCTAACATTGCTCCAAGGTACCCGAAGACTGGGAGGGGGCACTACTACCTAGAGATAGAGGTTGGACATGGGTTTGGGGAAAACGGAACTTAACCTGACGTCACTGAGGCATGTTGAAGTGTTTGACTGATCGCCGTTGCAATCCTATGAGATCCTGATCTAGAATTAGGAAATTCAGGCCTTTCTTGCCAGCCAGTTACTAAAAGAGGATGATGTACAAAGAACTATTGCTTTAATGTCATTGAGTCAGACCAAAAACCCAAACCCGTTGTCTAGAGTGAATTTGAATTCATAGGGTTTCCAAGGCTGCCATTTTTCTACCATTTGTTCTCCCACAGAAGGGGTGGTAGGTTCCAATCACTGACCTTTTGGATATTTATAAATTGTCATGTTTCTTTGGGTCTCAGTTTCTCACCCCATCTCCAGTAGATTCTAATCTGAGGAATCTTACCCCACCTGGGCCTGTCCCTCTTCCTCTGTACAACATTAAAAACCGTTATTTCAGCAGTTCAAACTCACCAGCTGTGCCTGGGGAGAACGATGAGGCTCTCTGCTCCCGTGAAGATTTACATTTTGGGAAACAATGTGAGACTTGAGGGTGATAGCAGAGGGTTTGGTTTATAGAGCAGTTACTGTGTACCAGGCACCTTGCTAAGCAATCTATAGCTCTCTGAGTTAGGATCTGTAACAAGGACACCTCCAGTCCTGCCCCGGCCATGCAAAGACCCTGCTCATGATAACTCCCACAGAACTTCACCTCTAGACTTCACCTTCAAGACTCACTAACTACTCTACTACTAACCCCCACCTATTGATTATGAAATTTATTAAAAAAAATGGTTAAAAGAAAATTCCTAGACCCAGGAAGTGAGAATGCCCAATTTAAAAATAGAACATTCCTGTAGCTAAGCCTCCTCCTTTTTTCAAGGCCACATTTGCAGTTGTTGAAGACACCCTTGTTAGATAAAGTTCATAGCCAGGGTTAAACATGTTTTCTTTCTTCCTTTCATAAGGTCAAAATACCCCTGTCCTTGAAAACAGAATGTGTAGATGTGACTGTTAGCTTTTACAAGACATATAAAAACCCTGTATTTACCTAGCTGCTTTGGAAGTGGACATTTTGAGAGTATGGAAATGCTGCCCATTTCCTGCTTATGCATAAACTCTTTTCTTTCTCTTCACTTGGTATGGTTGAAAAGATATGAGTTTGAGGACTAAGGTGCGCCTGACCCAAGCCATGGTTATTTTCAATAACCACATATGCATGTGGAAGTTGGACAGTGAATAAGAAAGACAGTAGAAGAATTGAGATGCATTTGAGTTATGGTGCTGGAGGAGAATATTGAAAGTATCTTGGTCTGTTAAAAGAACAAACCAATCTGTGTTGGAAGAAGTACAGCCAGAATGCTCCTTGGAAGCCAGGATGGCCATACTTTGTCTTTCATACTTTGGACATATTGTCAGGAGTGACCAGTCCCTGGAGAAGGATATCATGTTTGGTAAGGTGGAGGGTCAGAGAAAAAGAGGAAGACCCCCAATGAGATGGATTGGTACAGTGGCAGCAACAGTGGGCTCAAATGTAGCAACGATTGCAAGGTTGGTACGGGACCTGGCAGTGTTTCATTCTGTTGTGCATAGGATCACTATTAGTAGATATCAACTTGGTGGCACCTAACAACAACAATGTGATGACTAGAACTGTGGTTGCTTTGGCAGGGCCTGACTAAATGGTTTCATGAGTCTTGTACAGCCCACGGGTCACACATCCTCCACCACTGATGTATAGGTTCCTCATGAGCACTATTAAGTGCTCTGGAATACTCATTCTTGGCAATATTATTCATAGCTTGTCATGATTCACACAGTCGAAAGTCTTTGTATAGTCAATAAAGCACAGGTAAACATCTTTCTGTATTCTCTGCTTTCAGGCAAGATCTATCTGAAATCAGCAATTGCATCCCTTGTTCCAGTCATTGTCTGAGTCTAGCTTGAACCTCTGGCAGCTCCCTGTCTATGCACTGTTACAGCTGCTTTTGAATTATATTCATCAAATTTTACTTGCACGTGATATTGTTCAGTTATTTCTGTATTCTGTTGGGTTACCTCTCTTTGGAATGGGCACAAATATGGATCTTTCCCATTCAGTTGGCCAGGTTGCTTGTCTTCCAAATTTCTTGGCATAGTTGAGTAAGTACCTCCAGTGATGCATCAGTTTATTGAAAGATTTCAATTTGTATTCCATCAATTCCCAGAGCCTTGTTTTTTGCCCGTGCCTTCAGTGTAGCTTGGACTTCTTCCTTCATACCATTGGCTCTTGATCATATGCTACCTCTTGAAATAGCTGAATATTGACCATTTATTTTTGGTACAGTGACTGTGTGTGTATTCCTTCCATCTTCTTTTGATGCTTCCGGTGTCATTCAATATTTTGCTCATGGAATCCTTCAGTGCAGCAAGGAGAAGCTTGAATTTTTCCCTTCGATTCTTTCAATTTGAGAGATGCTGAGTGTGTTCTTCCCTTTTGGTTTTTTAACTCCTGGTCTTTGCACATTTCTTTGTAATACTTGACTTTGTCTTCTCTAGCTGCCCTTTAAAAAATCTTTTCCAGCTCTTTCACCTCTTCATGTCTCCATATATGTAAGTATGGGTAATGAGCTAAGTGATATCCCTCCCCTCTAGACTGTCAGCTCCACAAGGACAAGGACCCAACTATCTAGTTACCTGCTGACGTCTTAGCATTATGAACAGAGCCTGGCATACAGTAGGTGCTCAGTAAATGCCATCTGAGTACCTTTGTGTATGCCTGCATGTGTATGTGTGCTTGGGGTCATGTATAGTCCCAGCCAAGCCACAGCAGAAGTTGAGTGTCCAGGCCAACAATCTGGGTATCCATTTGCTTGAAAGCAACACAGGGTGGGCACTCCCTGCATGCTTCCCTATTGCACTAGGTACTCAAGCGGTTAATTTATTGACGGCTTGTCTCTCCAGTAGTCTGTCAGTTCCCTGAGGACAAACACAGAATCTGTTTGACTCTCTTTTGGTCCGTGACACCTAGAACAATGCCCCATGCAGAATGTGACTCAAACTATTGTTAGATGGATGAATGGATGGGATTGATGGGTGAGCGGAGATTCCAGGTCTGCCCCCAAGTCCCCATTTGCTCTTGCCACTGTCTCAGGCTTGGCCTTCTCTAAATAGAGCCTGAATTTGCAGAGGAAGCTTCTCTGTATAGATTCCAGTCCCATGTTAACAAGTCTACATTGGGGCTCTGAGGTCCCCATGGCTGGGTGACTGGGGGCACAGGGAGACATCACTGGGGTGGGGTCTGCCCACCTACCTGATCTAGGTCGTACAGCTTCTGCAGGGGACTTTTCCTTTTCCCACCAAGCCAGCCAGAGCTCAGGGTCCTGTTTTCAAACACTGTGGGGCACAGTGAGAGATGTGTTAGTTACTGCCACATGACACAGACTAGAGCAGGAGGAAGTGGCCAGCTCACCTACGCACATTTGACCCATCTCAAGGACCGTTTATCCCAAGAATGCAAGATCGGTTCACCTCAAAAAAATTAATCAATGTCAGCTACAATTTAATAAATACAGGCTAAACCACTTGTTCTGTCTGCCTCCTGGGGCTTTAGTAAACTATGGGGGGCACTGGCAGGGCTCCTAATTCTCGAGGGAAGAATCCTAGGTGTCACTCGTACTCCATGTCCTACCCTCTGGAATTAGAGGGTTCAGAGAGGAGGGAAGGAGAGAGAGGGACAGTGGTGCCTAGCACATCTAGGACAGGCCTGACCACCCAGCCTCACCCACCTCCACCTGCCCTCATCTTGTGCCATGTCCCTGTGGAGCCCCGAGGGACTCCCCAGGTTGGCTGTCTGTCCAGCATCCCCAGATATTAGGACTGTGTAGCCAGAAAGGGCTGAGTAGAAGTGGAGGCAGCATGGCTAGGTGTCAAGCTTTCAGAGGGGACAGCTCCCCAGGTTACGTGACCTAGGGTGGGTTCCTATGGCATCCTGTATTGCTCCTGTCGGTGCAGTGCTGCATTGTGGGAAATGCAGATCTAATTCTCTGCCCAGCTGAAAGCCTCTGAGGGCTGTGGTTGTTGTTAAGTGTTGTCGTGTCAGTTCAGACTCACAGTGACCCTGTTAGGGTTTCCAAGGAGGAACCTATTTATCTGTCTTCTTGCTGTGTTCCCCAATTTTCTAAAACCTACTGAAAAGTAGTTTGCTAAATTTATGTATTTTAGGAAATATTTTCTTAAGATTTTAAATTAATTTGAAAATACTCTTAGGAATATAGTCACAATTGTTAAGGGTGGCAGAACACTGGATAAGGTAAGTCCAGATAAACACTGGACTGCCATCTACAAGGTCAGTGGTTCAAGCCACCAGCTGCTTCAGGGAGAAAAAAAATGAGGCTTTCTGTTCCCACAAATATTTACAGCGTCAGAAACACTGTAGAGTTGCTGTGAGTTGGAACTGAGTTGACAGTATTTAACTGCTACATTGTTGTCGGTTCTAACCACTACTTTAGTTAAGGCTACATTCATACTCTTCTTAAATATGATGATATCTATCCTGGTGGGAGTCCTGGTGTGGCGCTGTGGGTTAATGCGCCAGACTGCGGAGCCGTTTGAACTGCAAGGTTGGCAGTTCAAGCTCACCAGCTGCTCTTTGGAAACCCTATACAGGGTCGCTATGGGTTGGAATTGACTCGACAGCACTTAACAACAACAACAACATCCTGGTGTAGTGCTGTAGGTTAATGCACTGGACTGCAAAGTCACTCTGAACCACAAGGCCGGCAGTTCAAGTTCACCAGCTGCTTATCGGAAATTAAACACAGGGTTGCTATGGGTTGTAACCGACTCGCACCTAACAACAACAATTACTAAATTAATATTATAATTACAATTCAGTCTTTGAAAAGATCACCCGAATTGACAAACTTTTGGCTAGACTGCTCAAAGGAAGCAAAAAAAGGAAAAGATGCAAATGACTAGAATCAGGATTGAATAAAGGGATATCACTGCTGACCTTACAGAAATGAGAAAGGACTATATGGAAATACTATGAACAATTGTAATCCAGGAAATTAAATAGCTTTGATGAAATGGACACATTGCTATAAAGACCCCCATAAACCCATTTCCATCTAATTGATTCGGACTCAGCACCTGTATAAGACATAATAGAACGTCCCCATAGAGTTTCCAAGACTGGAATCTATGGCACTAGACTGCCTGCCACATCTTCCTCCTTTGGGGCAGCTAGTGGGTTTGAACTTGGAGTTTGCCACCAGGACTTCTGTATAAAGACACAGATTACCTAAATTGACTTAAGAAGAGATAGAAAATCTGAGTAGTCCTAGAGAAACTGAAAACACTTCCCACAAAGAAAATCCCAGGACAAGATACTTTAGAGAGAATTCTACCAAATGTTTAAAGAAGAATGAACTCTAATCCTTCATAAACTCTCCCCAAAAACAGAAGAAGAGAAAACACTTCCCAATTTTACTCTTTGGGGCCAGTTCTGATACCTACCCAAATAAAGACATCATGCACAAAAATTATATAACTATAGACCAAGGTCCCTTATAAGTAGGGATACAATATCCTCAGCAAAGTACTTGCAAACCAAATTCAACAGTATATATAAAAAAGGATTATACACTATGATGACCAAGTTTATTTTTATCCTAGGAATGTAAGGTTAGTTGTTCACTATACAAAAATTAATTAGTATTGGTGTTGTTAATGCCATTAAGTAGGCTTTATGAAATTGGATGCTTACGTACATTAACCATATTAAAAATTGACTCAAAATAAAACATGGACCTAAATATATGAGCTGACACTAGAAAAATCTTTTTTTAAAAAAACACTGATACAAATCTTTGTTATCTTGGATTAGACGATGATTTCTTAAACATGACACCAAAAGCAAAAGCAGCAAAAAGAAAAAAAAAACAGGTAAACAGGATCTTGTAAAAATTAAGGTATTTTGTGCTTCCAAGGACACCATCATAAAGGTAAAAAACAAAACAAAAAACCCACATATTGAGAGAAAATATTTGCAGATCTTATCTATGATAAGAGAGTTGTCATTGTTGTTGTTGTTCAGTGCCATTGGGTCTGCTCTGACTCATAGCAACTCAGTATAGGATTTCCGAGGAGTGACTGGTGAGTTTGAACTGTCCACCTGTTGGGTCAAAACATACATGCAGTTCTGCGCTTATCCTACATCACCACACCAGAAGTCCGATAAGGGAGTAGTACACAAAATTTGAAGACCTCTGACAACCTAATAAAAAAGACAGATAACCCAATTTTTAAATGGGCAAAGGATTTGAATAGATATTTATCCAAAGAAGATATGCAAATGGACAATGAGCACATGAAAAATTCTCCACATCATTCATCATCAAAGAAGCCATAATAAGAAATAACTAAGTACCACCAACTCATAGTTCATAACAGAATGAAACACTGCCCAGTCCTGTGCCACCCTCACAATTGGTGTCATGCTTGAGGCCATTCCTGCTGCCACTGTGCCAATCCACCTCATTACAGGTCTTCTTCTTTTTCACTGGCCCTTCACTTCACCAAGCATGAATTCCTTCTCCATGGACAAGTCCTTCCTGATAATAAGTCTGGAGTATAAGAGGGGGATGCCTGAGCAAATGGATAGCCCACCTCAACCTCTGGAGGGTTCTACTACGCATGTGCACAGATCTCCTTGAAATTTAAAGTGACAGTTTCCACTTAAACCAAACGGCCAGCACTTGTCTGGCAGTTTGTCTTGCTGTGGTGGCTTGTGAGTTGCTGTGATTCTGAGAGCTATGCCACCGGTATTTTAAATACCATCAGGGTCACCCATGGTGGACAGATTTCAGATGAGTTTCCAGACAAAGACAGACTAGGAAGAAAGAGTGACAAAATACTGCCGAATCTTTAGTCACTGTAAACCTTATGAATAGCAGAAAAACACTGTCAAATATAGTGCCGGAAAATGAGCCCCTCAGGTTAGAAGGCACTCAAAATGCGACTGGGGAAGAGCTGCCTCCTCAAAGTAGAGTTGACCATGATAACATAAATGGAGTAAAGCCCGTGGGAGAAAAGCCCACGGGACCTTCATTTTCTGATGGGACACAACTCAAAAGGAAGAGAAATAGCTGTAAACATCTACTGAAAATTGGAACATGGAATGTAACAAGTATGGATCTGGGAAAATTGGAAGTTGTCAAAAATGAAACGCATAAGCATCGATATCTTAGGCATTAGTGAGCTGAAATGGACTGGTTTTGGCCATTTTGAATCTCACAACCACATGG